TAATTTAAGTTAAAGCTAAATTACCCCTTAATACTACAACACTGCCAAATTACAACAGAATTGGGTAAAGGTATCTTACAAACGAAACATTTAGATGAACTTTTTGTCTTAAAATCGTCTGTTAAATTTATTGTATATAGGCCTACTTATGTAAAACCCTGTATACAGAAAATTCCAAATGAAGAGAAGTTTTAAAAACCAAACAGAAGTTGTGCTGCATAATTTTGTTTTACTCAATACCTATAACCATAGATATATATGTCTATGCCTATAACCATAGAAAAACCTAGTCATAGAGTCTATGCAATTAGTATTTGCCAACTAAACCCCCAAATTTTTGACGTTGTCAAATTCCGAATAAAGAAAAACTGTATGTTAGGTATCAAGAGGTGCGTTCTTTTCGCCTTAGATCTCAGTTAATCTCAGCACACATCGGTAAAATTTGTAAATGTGCGCGTTCTTTTTACCTTACCCACCTTCGGTCATCTATGCCATAAAGTGAGCTGAGCAGTTTGAATTAAGCCGGAAGTAAAGTGGAGGGGATAAAGAAATTATTGATTTGTTAAGTCTTTTAATAACATAACCTAATTTAGGTGATTTTTTGGCAATAAAACTTAAATTTCTATAAAATAATTAAATTTTGTAGCTATAAACTTGATATAATAAATAGAATTCGAAAAAAATTGTTTTTCAGAACAAGAAAAACACTTTACAATATAACCCTACAAACAATGACGACATCGTCTTTTATATCGTCTTTCGTATCGTTATTTTTTTTTTAAACTATCTCACACTTAATTCACATCGCAGCATCTTTTTGGGTCGTAATTGTGCATTGCATTAATACATAATTATGATTTTTAATTATATTTAATCAAAACATAGCTAAAAAGAACTTTCCTAAGTTTACAACTCGTAGGACGACAGTCTTGTCGATAGAGAAACCTATATCGTTGACGAGATAAGTCCCGATATCGACAAAACAGTCGTCAAAACCAGTGTTGCCACCCCTATTACTTTAGTAATAGATCTGTTACTTTTAGCGAAAATATATTACCCTATTACGAAACGATGTAAATCTATTACTTTTTTCTTTCCTAGTAGGATTTTTTTTTAAATATTCTATTGTGGTCCTATTGTTGCCACTGGCAACTTGCCAGACAGACCACAAAAGATTATTGTCGCAGCGCATCAAAACTATTGTAGAATTAAATTTTTCTTGGTTTTTCTAACATAAGTGTTTTAAATCATGTTATATATTTTAAAGAGTTAATTAAAATAAACTTATTCTTTAGATATTGCCCTTTAATCTATTTCTGATCATTTGGCCAGCTCATAATAGGTAAAATAAACTTATTGTTTATCCAAAATTTAAGATTTTGTTAATATTGGGTAGTTTTATTCCCTTGTGCAATTTGATTTTCATGAAATTATTGTACATTTTAATTTTATCTTACATGTGATTTCGTACATTGTACGTACGTATAATTATTATCGTACAAAAATGATAATTATTCTTTCTATGGAAAATTATCGTACGTCTGGCAGCACTGCTTGAGTGTTTGTCGTTTGTTGTGCGCTTAAATTTGTGTTTATAAAGTTTTTATTAAAATAGCATAAGCATCATGCACAGATTATAAAGCATCATGTAATTTTATTCTAATAACAACGGTAAAACGTCAAATAATCAAACAAATTTGATTGAAAATAGTCTATTACCTTAAATTCCAAATCTATTACATTTTGACGCATGCGTCTATTACGAAAAAAAAGTTATAGGTGGCAACACTGGTCAAAACGACAAACATAACGATATCGTCTTTGACATCGTTTTTCGTACCGATAATTTTTTTTAACTATTTTACACTAAATTCAAGTCGCAGCATGTTCCTTGGTCCTAATTTTGCAGTGCATTTTGGTTTTTATTTATATTTTTATATTTAATAAAAACAAAGCTCTAAAATAGCTTCGCAAATTTGACGACTCGTCTAACGACCCTCTTGTCGATATACATATATCTTCGACGATGTAAGTTTCTATATCGACAAAAGGGTCGTCATGACGACAAACAATGACGATATGGTCTTTGACATCGTACGATATCGTCTTGCGTATCGATATTTTGTTTTAACTATATATATATAGGTAGGTAGGTATATAGTTTTACCATTGATTTAATCAATTTGATTAAGGTAGGTACCCAACCCTATTCCTTTACTCAACGGTTTTACACTAAATTTATGTCGCTTATAGTGCAACGCTGTCATTGCATTGCAAATAAATACTGATATTAAATATAGAAAATAGTAAGAAGAGAAAATCATAGAAAAAAGTATTATTTTATTATAGCTGGTGTTGTAGGAAATAAATTTAAATATACCGCCGACGTGATGTCGGTAATGTAGGTACCTATCATTAACAGATAGAAATTAATAACATGGCGAAGCTGAGTTCTTGTGGCTTGGGCTGGTCTATTTGTGTCTGTTTAGAGCTGTGTTTATCTAATCTATGGATGTGGAGCTGTATTTAATACTTCTAAATTAAAACGTAAGTAGACAGATTGTTTTATTATAGGTAGGTAGTTCGTATTTGTTCGTATCGTATACCTAAATGATGGACAGGAATTCAACCTAAATGAAGGAGAGGAAACCAACCTAATAAAATGAAGAACAGGAAACCAACATAAATGAAGGACAGGAAACCAACCTAAGTGAAGGAAAGGAATTCTTCCTAAATGAAGAACAGGAAACCAACCTAAATAAAGGACAGGAAACCGACCTAAATGACCCTGTAACTATATATGATATTAAAGACTCTTTAACTTTAAATGATAATGATAGTAATTGCAGAACTTTTTACATAATTTAAATATTAATATTTGAAAAATGTTAAAACTTCTATACAATTTAAATTGAATCACTGATTTTAGAAACACCTAAAGTCAATTTACTCGAGATATTCTTCAAAAAAATAATTATTTTTAAATAGGCTTTAAAATCATTCATTTCTTTACTAGGGTGCTAATTTCACAAATAAATGATTGGTAAGTTTATATAAAAATAATTAGGCAATTTAATTAGTTTTCTTCATTTGTGACTTAGGGTCTTTCTGAAATTAGTGGTACAATTATTCACTTGCATTAGTTTCACTTCACTTTAATCTTTCTATAGAGTTGGGCGTTACTTTATTATGGCATAATAAGTTTTATCAGAGTTATTTATTTTTATTATTAAGGGGGTGATACACACTAAAGTAAGCAAGTTTTTTCTCTATCACTTTTGGAATAAGCTACTGTTTTTGAATAAAAAAAGTATGAAAATTGATGTAATTTTTCGTATGCCACTGCTGTTTTTTGTTTAACGACCTATAAAAAACATATGTTTTTGCAAAAATCCATAAAGTATAGGTGGCCAGTTATTTAGCAGTAATTAAAAGAATCAGTTAAATGTTTTATTTGACCCATTATACCACCTGTAAACAGGAAGTTTAAGTGGGTAAAGTTTACTTATCTTCAGAAAGGAATCAGTGGCGGGGTCAAAATACTTTAATAATTTTTATATTTTTTTTTATTCAAAAATATTAGCTCTAATGCAAAAGTAATAGGGGAATAACTTGCTTACTTAAGAGTGTACTATCACAACTTATTTGGTGACACTGTATTTTGTTTTAAAAGTTTATTTTATTTTTTAAGTTTGTTTTAAAAATGTTATAAACTTATTATTGTAATAACAATTCCTTGCCATTGTGGTTTTTGTTTGTAAATGTCATAAATAAAAAAAGGCTTTTTTAATTGCATATTTTTTATTTAAAATTTTATCACCTCTAGATTTGTTCGCGATATCGTATGTCGATTTGTTTACGATATCGCGTGTCGATTCGTTTACGATATCGCTTCTCGATTCGTTTACGATATCGCGTGTCGATTCGTTTACGATATCGCGTTTCGATTCGTTTACGATATCGGCGGACATCGTTTGACGATATCGCGTTTCGACTCGTTCGCGATATCGACAAGCATATCGGCATCGACGTTAGTTGGCGATATCGCGTTTTGACTCGTTCACGATATCGAAATACATATCGACATCAACGTCATTTGACGATATCGTGACGATAAGAATGTAGAATCTAAAAGTGTCGGATTACGAGTCCTCGGAATTCTTATCGTTTTTTGTATCGTTATTGTTTGTAGGGAATTGAAAGAAAGTAAAAGTGAAGATTTTTTTAAATTCTTATTTTATGTCATAAAATTAGGTAGGTATTATTATTTTTTTACAAAAAAAATGATTTTTTTGCAATCAAACTTAAATTTCCATAAAAATAATTAAATTTTGTTGACTACCTATAAACTTAATATAATAAATAAAATTGTTTTTAAGAACTAGAAAAACACTTTTTACAATATAATTAAACAAAACATGTCAAAGTGAAGTTTCTTTTTTAATTTTTATTTTATGTCATAAAAAAAGATAGGTTATGTAGCCTCTTATTCACGTATGCGCCGTCAGATTGCGCGTTTCAATTAAGTGTGTCGTTATTTTTAATGCTTAGTAAGCATTGCTTACTCACATCCATAGAAATAATACTATTAGTATTATTTCTATGCTCACATCATATCATATTAACCGAAGTGAGCTGAGATCTCAGCCGAAATCCTTTTTCTATGGCGAAAAGAGCACACCTAAAGTTGCAAATAAAATGTCTCTAAAGCATTTTACATCTGGCATCATTGCTTTAAATTTGTCAGTTTTTCTCAAAAACCTATCAAATGTTCAAACTGTTCCTATCAAAAAATAATTTCGGAATACAATCCCCTCGCCCATCCAACTTATCGCTTATCTATGAATACATCTCGAAAACTACTGAAAAACCCGCAATTTTTGATATTTACTGCCTACATTTAGAAATCCTAGGCAATAATCATGTCATGAATCATGAAATTTTGCTAAATAATGAACAATTTCAACGGTTAAGCGTAAAATAATTAAAAATAAACATACCAAATTGTAAATGCCACTTGCAAAAAAGTTCCGGTCTAGGAAAATCTTTGGCATGAGAAATTTCGCCAATAATGTGAACTTCTGCCATAAGAGAACAAATATGATTTACTAAAAAACCGTTTTTCTGTAACCATTACAACAAACACATTTTGTTTACCTTTCCCTTTAAACGTTGCCTAGCAACGGGGTATCGCTTTTCGCTCTCATGAAAATCGTTAGATCGATATTAAATTAACGAAGTAATGTAATGGAAATCAACAAGTAGTACCACTACTACTGTAGTAGTTACTTTTTTTCTTTAATTAGTTACTTATCTTCTTTAATTATTTTCTTTAATTATTTACCATTTACAAAGTATAAATATGTGCGCACGCAGTTCTTGAGCGCATGCGGATTTCTTAAGAAGTGGAAAATATGTAAGATGGCCGTGAATTTTATCTAATGACATTTATCGTTTAGTTTTCGTTATCTTTTAAAAAAACAATTTCATCGTAACGGTAAGTGAACATTTAAAAGTGTTTAGGACATTTTAATAATTGCCTAAGTGCCAGTGACTGGGAAGTGACAATTGTCAATTTTTTACCAAACTAAAGTTGTCGTTAAAATTTAAATTTCCGGACGGTGCTAGCAATTGTTTTTGATTTCTCTTTTTTGAAATATGTCATTACAAGTGTTTTTGTATCTTTTTTGCAGTGTTTGTAAGTAAGAAAATGCCCAGACGGAATAATGACATTCCCTTAGAATTAGATAGTCCAAGAGGAAGGGTTTCCATTAACAATAGTTTTGAGTCAAGATGCACGAAACAGGGCGAATTGTTTACCGATTTAGGCTTAAAACAATGGAGATTGGGGAAACCTATAGGCATTGGGGGTTTTGGAGAGATTTACCTGGCTTCCGATGACTTATCCAGAGAAATAAAGACTGACACTTCTTATGTGGCAAAAGTTGAAAAGCATACAAATGGTCCTTTATTTGTTGAAATTAATTGTTATTTAAGAATTGCTAAGGAGTATATGGGTAAGTACTTGTCAACAATAATTTGACAATTTTTGATTTGGTTTTATAAAATTTTTAGTTGAACATTGGAAACAACAACACAATTTGTCTCATTTGGGTATGCCCCATTATGTTGCATCAGGTTCACATGTTATAGAAGACGAAAAATATCGATTTTTGATCATTCCCAGATACAAAAAGGATTTAGAGAGAATATTAAGACAAAATAAATATTTTAACCTTAAAACAGTATTGACAATTTCCTACCAAATTATGGATGTTTTGGAATATATACACCATCATGGATATATTCATTCAGATATTAAGGCTCAAAATATAATGTTGGAATCCCCAGTGAAATCAAAATCCAAGGAAGTTGCAGTCAGAAAAAGAGGCACTGCTAAAAAAACCCAACTCAAGAGGAAACCCAGAAAATTAAGAAACTTACGACCTATTAATTATAATGATGACATGCAAGAATTTTTTGATTTTATAGATAAAGCAAAGTTATCAAGCCCTAAGGCTGGTAAAAATGAGGAAATGTGTGATAAAATATATTTGTTAGATTATGGTCTAGCTTCGAAATACAGACAGTTGAATGGAGAACATAAAGAATTCTGTACTGATGAAAGGAAAGCCCATGCTGGTACAATTTTATTTTGCTCTCGGGATGCACACAAAGGAGTACCATCAAGAAGGTCTGACTTGGAATCCCTAGGATACAATATTATTTATTGGCTGACAGGAAATTTGTTATGGTCTGAAGACGTAGATGACCCAGCAGTTGTGGAAAGGAAGAAAAACAAGTGCATGGCAGACATACCCAACTTTTTGGGCTTTTGCTTTAATGGCGACTGCCCAAAATTTTTAATGGAATATTTTACTTACATAGAAAAACTAAAGTTTGAAGAATACCCAAATTACCAATATTGTAGGCAACTATTTAAAAAGGCTGTGAATGAGTATGGTTATAAAGACGATATGAGGTTGGATTTAGAAAATCTGGAAGGTTGGGGTAGTAAGCAAAAGAAAATCAAAAGTTGTGGTAGGGAAAATATTAAGCCCAGAGTGTTAATATCCATGGGCCCTCCTAAATTTGTTGTAAATTCAAAGACTAATGTAATATTTAAAAGGCCTAAATTAAGGAAAAAAGCCAAAGCCAGTAAGCATATTTATGATTTTAATGTAAAAATAGTTTTTGACATTAACATTTATAGACACAAATGATTCAATGATGAACTGGTCAAAGATATTAGTCGACAACCCAGAAGAAATTTTTAGAGCAGCCAGAGAAAGAAAAAATACTGAAGGGAGCGATTCTGGGGGTGCAAATATTTTGGACATGGACATAGAAAGCATGAATCCCACCTATGCAATGCTAGAAGTTTATAATAAATACAAAGAACAATCTGACATATCTCCTAGATACAAAGGAGAAAGGTGAGTGAATAATAATAAGCGCACATTTACCGCGCCATATCTATGTAAACAATTCCATTCAAAAATTTGAACTGGCCAATAGGAATAATTTTTAATTTACATTAGTTGTTAACTAAACTAAGAGGTGGCGTTGAAGCGTTGAACCTAAAAACGCGCGTTGCCATATGTAATTTAGAGCGGCGTTGTCAGATTGTCATTTTAGTGGTTAAATGTAGGTACTTTGTAAAATTTAATTTTTTAACTTTTAGTACTGTAGAGCATGTGGAAGGTTACACGCCGGCTATGATGAGCGTCCTCATAAAAAAAATTGAACGTGATTTGATAGAGGAAGAGAAAATTTTTACAAAAAATATGAGTACAAAAAGGTCAAAAGGTAGCAAAGGCCCTTCTAAAAAGAAGCGTTCACAAATTGTAAAAAAGGTTGAAACCCCGCGATACACAAGAGTTACAAGAAGTACATCAGGTAAATATTTATTTTTCTTTTAACCCCTGTACCTACATTGATTACATTTTTAGCATTAAATAATAATAATAAAAAGTCTTCACCCCCCAAGAAGTCAAAAAGCGTTCCTATTACTAGACAAAAAAACAGCCTAAGGGGTTAATTGCCAAGAATAAAAAATAAATAATAATATTATGTTGCATTAGTAATAAGTTTGTATCAGGGACTAGAGTAAAGTTTTAAGCACTTTTTCTTGTTCATTTATTATTTATAATGAGTAACACTTTATTAAAAAGTACATTTATTTATATACATACATATATGTTTCTTGATTAATCATAGTTTTACTCATTAAAATTTTAAATAAGAGTGAAAGTAAGTAAGATTTTTACTGTTAGTATTGATAATTTCGTAAGACTGGCCTGTACAATAGGGTGGGCCGAAAAAATTATTTTTTGAATTCAATTTAGGGGTAGCAAAAAAAATTTACCTTAGGCCAAAAGTAGTTTGTAAAAAAAAAATTAGCGTACTAGCCCAATATTTAAGGCCCCCCCTGGGCGCCCAAAATATTATTTTTTTATATTTTGTTTGGGGTGGCAACAAAAAGTTACATTATGTTGACAAGAATTGTAGAAAAAAAATTAGCGTACTAGCCCAATATTTAAGGGTGCCCCGGGGGCCCAATATTTTTTTTTTATATATTAATTGGGGTAGCCACAAAAAGTTACCTTAAGTTAACAATATTTTTACAAAAAAATGTCCCATATTAGAGTTTGACGTAAAAAATTTGGAGGGTTAAAAATGTTTATAAATTTGGAAATGTTTTTTTTAAATAAAAGAACTAAAAATATTTATAAGTCGAGCAGACGACTTCTATATAAGGTTCGGCAAGTTTCCCTTTTACACGCAGGCGGTGAAAAAGTTTGTGAAGCTTGTAACAGAAGCTGCATTAAAAATTTGCTGTGAGGTAGCAAGAAATGGTTATATATAGATGCGCGGACATCTCTACCGGCCTATATGACAACAAGTCTAACTCGAGGAGCAAATATCCAATTAATAATAATAATAATAATAATAATAATAATAAAAATGCTTTATTGCGTAAAACACAAAATTAATTACACAAAAGGCTGCTTTCGTAAGGACGTTCTTCCATACCACCTACTAAGAAATTAAATCTATTTTATTCTGCATATTACATATTAATTAAACTAAATCCTATAATTTCATATCACACCAGTTAATAACAAATTTTTGTACTCTAAATTAAATGTGTTTGGATATTTAAATATTATGTTAAATAATGTTTTATTGTTCAAAAGTTCTATAGATAGGTATATTAGGTCTATAAACGAATCCTTAGATTTTGAAGTTTTGTGACTAGGTATTTGAAAAAGATTGTGTCTTAAATCAAGATTGTGTTTATTAGATCTTTGAATAAAGTTGTTGAATAGATATTCAGGCAATTATTAGGTATTTACTTTCTGCACTATTTTTCCAAAATTTTGCTTGTAAGGATCAATTATTTTTAAATGCTTGTTTTCCAAATAGATTGAAGTAATTGGGTCAAATTTTCCGACTAAATATATGAATCTAATACATGAGTTTATTTTTAAATGTTTCAGTATGATATGAGTAGTAGACTGGCATGCAATAGTCTATAATAGGGTGTATATTAATGTTGAAACAATTTTGCACTTGGTGTTAGAATTTAGAACATACTTAAATTAATATAGTAATTTCAGCTTCATATAACACAAACTAAGTTGTCTTGTAACATGGCGTTTGTATAAAAAATAACACCCAGATTTCTTGCTGTTTCTTGCTGAGGTATTTCTATATTATTTATATGTTCGGTATTAAAATTATATTGTTTTTTATTTATCATATATACTGTACCAATATTTATTACAAGACTCTTTTTGGCATTTAACTGAAGTCTATGATTGACCAAGCATTTACTTCTTTTAAGACTTTATTTATTTCGATAGTGGTTAATTAATTTAGAGTAACGCAAAATCTTTTTTAAATTTAATAAAATCAAGCTAAGAGTTGCTAATTTTTTTCATCAAAAGGCGTCTTAATAAAATAATAAAAAAAACTTAGACTGATACCGGCATTTGGTTTGTCTATGCAATAATACATGGGGTAACTTTTTGTTGCCACCTCAATTAAAATATATATAAACAAATTTAGGCCCCCCAGGGCACCCTTAAATATTGGGCTAGAATGGCTATTTTTTTCTAAACATACTGTTAACATGAGGTTACTTTTTGTGGTTACCCCAATTAAAATATGAACAAAAAATATATTTTGGGCCTCCGGGGCACCCTTAAATTTTGGGCTAATACGCTCATCTTTTTTTTTAAATTACTGTTAATATAAGGTAACTTTTGTGGTTACCCAATTAAAATATGATAAAAATAAATATTTTGGGCCTCCGGGGCACCCTTAAATATTGGGCTAGTACGCTCATTTTTTTTTCTAGAATTACTGTTAACATAAGGTAACTTTTTGTTCCCACCCCAGTCAAAACATACAAAAAAAATATTTTGGGCCCCCGGGGGACCCTTAAATAATGGGCTAGTACGCTACATTTTTTTCTAATAAATTACTTTTAACATAAGGTAACTTTTTATTGCTACCCAAAAATAAATATCTCAAATATTTTTTTTTTTACGTTTTTCGGCCCACCCTACTGTACAATTGTGTTTTATAATTTAATAATTGTTTGTCAAATTGTATTTTTTGATTTTTTTTTATTAAACATTGCAGAGTATTTATATGAACAAAATCATATTTTGTAATTTTAAAACAAAAATATAGATATAGACATCTGTGTAGACTTAATTTATTGAATATATAATAAAATAAAGGACTTCTTCTGTATGTTTTAACATATGTACTGATGTCAGATGCTGGCCAATTTAATTTTTGTGATGTCTGTTTTATTATGGCCCTTGAATGCTATGCCAATTTAAAAAATATGTAATCATTTAAAATTTGCAATACTAGTTAAAATATACATATTAAGATATAGTACATTATCTAACAGGCAGAGAAAGCGCTTATTAAAGCTGAGCTCAGCGTTAAAGCAAATCTGAGCTAGGCTCTTAATATGCTTTCTCCGCCGTGTTGTATATGCTATTTTTTTCAAGCGTACTTACATTGAATTTATTCTACAGTGACCTATTATTTTTAGTTATCTGCATGATTTCGAGCTAAATGCGATAGATGGAACCACTCTTTAAATGTAATTTCGATGCATTTTCATTATTGTATGGTACTGTATAATAATTTCACTTTTGAACTGCGTACAAAAATAAAGTCTTTCTATATAGGCTTATGAGCGTTATAATATAAAAATTGTTATTCGCTTGAAAAAAAAAAGAATTTTGGTCAGGGTTTTAAAATCATGATATTTATATAAATATCATATCAGTGGATATATATTGGATATTTTGATATTTATTAATTATAATTATTAGTATTTCCTATGTTATATAATATATATTACTTCTTTGTTCTAAAATAACCGTATTTTTACAACTGAACTATAACATAAAATGGAAAACATTTAAAAATTAACACTGATGATTTTTGCGATCAATTTTTTCTTAAAAATGAAAATCTATAAATTCTCTCAGTAGCGTGACATCAAGATCTTATAATATAAATGGTATATTGGTAGGTATAATATCATGTCAAGATTTATGAATAAAGCATATTATGCAAAAATAAAAATGTTCAACATAACACAATTCTTTGACAGTTATAATCTCTTTACTTGTTATAAAACAATTAACAGCGTATTTTAGTATTTTTAAACGAATTTAAAGAAATATAACATAACCTAGAAACCACAGTCTTAAAACGGAATACACGACCGTGCTAGAAGCAGATGTTGGATTCATTCGTAATAACATCGTGACGTCACGCGCTTCCTACAAGGTCATCGAAGGGTTTTAATAACAAACTTGTATATTCCAACCCCATTTAAAAAAAATGTATATATACATGGTGGTCCAGTTTAAACGGCATTAATTTTAAGAACTAATAGACTTTGGTCCAAACGGGTTTTTTATTGACTAGTAGGTAATAAAACTTTACCGATTGGTCTTTGTACAGACGTTTTTTGATTGTTGAAAATGATAGTTATTTCTGTCATAAGGCTGAGAAGTGAGTCTTTTTGTGCTGAGCTTAAATTTTCAATGCCGACGCGTAGCGGATGCCTACAATTGAGCGAAGCACAAACAGACACTTCTCAGCCGCATGGCATACAACATTTTCTTGAGTGTTAAACAATGCATAAAACGTACAATTATAATAATTATTAAAAGTAGAAAGGTACGACAGTTGTCGAAGTTTTTGATTGGTCATAACGGGTTTTTACAGACTAGGATGTTAAAAACTTAACCCAATTGGTCTAAATTATTTTTACAACCTGGGAGATAATTGAGTACTTTGGTTGTGAGTGTTGACAATAATAAAGCTTAAATTATAGAAAGCTTGAGGATAAAATTATTTAAATATTTCAGAATCAAAATTAAACAAGGGCAGTTTTATTCTCTAAATTGAACAGATAACCCAAAAATGTATTTACTACAACTTTTTCGTGGCGTCAAAGAAAAAGAAAGCAGGCCACCCCAGTAACTGCGCCACTGATGTTTTTTTAAATAATTGTCCACATCAAGACCTTTACTATTGCATTGTAGTTTCAAAAAATGGTTTTGTACTTAAGGTGTAGACTACACTAAGTGTCCATTTTGTGGGAACTGGCCAAATACACGAGGTACACTGTTGCTTTTGTTTCTAGCCTACTTGTTTGCCTATATAAGGATATAGCAACGTGCTTACACACCACGGCTATCCGTCACTGATGAGGTCTAATAAGACCGAAACAGGGTACGTGGTTGTGTAGCACGCTCGAAACGAAAGCAACCGTGACGAGGTATTTGGCCAGTTATATTACATTGTGTACAAACTGATGAAAATTGATTAAGTGCTTTGAAAGTTATGATTGGAAAACATTTTTTTCCAAAGTTTGACTGTTAAAAATATTTTTTGGCAATATTTTTTAATAAAAGTCTACCTGTTTTAAAATTAATGACTTCTAACCTGGACAACCCTGTATAAATTTCAAATTTTAGGCGGCTACTAGATTTAATTTTTCCATGCTTAATTTAAATAAATAACTACTAGATGATGATGATATATTTAATTTCATAATTTTAATAATCCATTAACAAAACTAAAATCAGACACCTATTTTGGAATGGAGAAGCTATGTTTTATTTTTAAAATAGTTTTATTAATATACAAATTAAAAACTCAAATATAACTTCAAATTTTCACTGATTATTTTTTGACGTTTCTAATCACCAATAGAAACTTCCAATTTCAGTCGTGTGTACGTTTTGTCTAATCAAAACATTATTATGATGAAAATAATCTACTTTCATAATTGTTGGGAATAGAAAATAATCAGTATAACTCGTTATAACTCCGTAAATGTAATAACTGATTTTGATATGTAAATGTATTCAGAAGTGCATTAGCTGGCCATACACAGACGTTATTGCACGCGGTTTGTCGTGTTATCTGCAAAAATATATGGAAAATCATGTACGTGAGTGAGTATCGCCTCGCGCAATAGCTGGCCATACACAGGCGTTATTGCGCGCGGTTTATCGTGTTATCTGCAAAAACATATGGAAAATCATGTACGTGAGTGAGTATCGTCGCGCGCAATGATAGAACGGGAAGGTATTTCAGACGAGCTTTCCTCTGGATTGTGGCGTACATCAATTTCAGCAGTGTCCACACGCCACATTCCGCGTCACGGTTTACTTTCGCTTGGCGAAATTTCACGTTGAAAATTTGTTCATGATCACATGTAGTTTCAAACGACTCGATAAATGACACTTTTTGCCCACTCACATACGATTTTTCCTTTGAAACTGATATACCATGCGCAATCACTTGCTAAATTATTTGAATACTTTATCAAGTGTATGGAACATGACGCTTTTTTTGCCATGCCGTTCTTTCGTGCATACTAACCGCTACATCCCAACACGCCACGATAAACCGCGCGAAATAACGTCTGTGTATGGCCATAGCTGCAGCTATTAACTTACTTACCTACTTACTAGTAGATTGACGCCACAAAGGTAGCACTAAAACTAACCCACCAACCAACCCAAAAAACAGTGATATACGCATTTACTAGTAAAGGTACACTTTTACAAGTTATAACAAAATATACTAGCTGACATGTAAAACTTACTTTTTTTTTCATTCCCAAGAATAAAGAAGTTTTTTGGTTTCGGAACATTTTTGTTTTTTTTTTAAATATTTTGAGAACCGTTGGCTTTTTTCCAATTTATAAATTTAATTTTAATAGGCTTATAATTACGCAACTTTTCTCTTATTTAACCGACCTTTCAAATAAAAAAGATACCCATAGAAGTATACACTTTAAATGATACTTGGTTCACACTGTATATCATAAAATAATATATCATAAAATAAATATTATGTCGTGATATATCGATGGTTATTTGACAAAACATCGTAAGCGACAATTTTGTTGAATTACTTTTTATTTTATCAAAGTGTCAGTTACGATAAGCTGCACATGTTAACATAATAGTTATTCCAATTTTGGAATCTAATATTGGTCAGTTTGAATATTTTTATTATTGTAAGCGCCTATATGTTTCCGACAAATAATCGTAAGCAACTCCGAGACATGGCGTTTGCGATTTAACATTGTGTCGCTTACGATAATATTGTCATAGATAATAAATCATATAGATACGCCACTGTCACATATTTGACGCTCCTTGTTACGCACACTCGGTCCGCTATGCCGCTAGTGTACCCGCCTGACATTTATTGGTTTTAGGTTATGGTTTTAATTTAGGTTATCCTGTCAAATTTTGACAGTCAAAATGGTAAAAAATAAAAGGCCTGATAGTTTATTTAAATTGTTTATTTAAAAAGCAAAAATAAATGTATTATATTTTAAATTATTCAAGGTATTTACTAAACTAAACCAATTAACAATATAATATTGTATTCAAGTGAATTTTATCTTATTAAAGAACACAAATCAGTATAAAGTAATAATATTATGTACCACATTTGTGTTAGTACCTACATCATTATTTTAATAAAATAGTTATAATTGAATAATACAATACAACCTGGTCATCATTGTGAAAAGTATGCATCATAACTTGACTGTTAGAGCAGCCCACAGCACAGCACAACACCATGTTAATGTTCAAATAATGTGGCAATATATAAAAAATAGAGTACACAGATAACGATAAATCGCAATTTTAAAAGTTTTTAAGCGTACAGAACAAACCAAATAAACACAATATGAATTTACAAAACTTTACAAAATTTATCAAACTGAAGTTTGTTGATTTCGTTACCAAGCAACCGTCAAGATTAACCGCCGCTCCTGCCACATGCAACTCGAGTGTAAACTAAAACCAAAGTCGACTAGACAAAAATGTGGATTTTGTTTGTGTAAGGCGAGTGCACAGGGCATGAATATTGTGCTCACTCCTTGATCTATCAAGGCGTTATTCCCGCTCTAAACAGTTTATCCGTGAGTATACCTGCATCGTGGTGATTGCTACCACAATCCACAATGTGGATTGTGATTGCTACCAAGTTTTAAAACAATATTTTATTTGATCAAAAGCTTATAATTCCTTTTTATCATTGCAATATTAATAGTTATCCTATAATAATAATATAATAATAATAATAATTATAATTGTTTTTACGTAGTGTGGTTCGTTAAAAGTGGTTTTTTGTAGTAATTGTATGTTGTTGTGGTTTAGGGTTATAACCTTTGTTATCTATGGTTATAACGTCAAATAATTTGACTCAAATTTATAACGGTACAATGACGGCCAAAAAATTTCGAACGACCTGTCATTCAGTTGATTTTAAAATGTAAAACTGCCTTTAGTGACAACTAACCTTACTTTCTGAAAGTTGTCAGTTTGACGTATTTCATTGTTGATTGTGTTGTTTTAAGATTAGATTCTCTGTCTACTTTTTGAAACTGCTTGTTAAAAATGTCCCTAAGGGTTGGTTTGCACAGACATTTTTTTAAATGACAGAAGTTTGATGTTCGAAAATGTAACTTAAGCGACAAGACTAATTTTACATTTTCCTAAAGATGTTCTTATAAAATATCGTATGCCACAAAATTTAATGAAAATTTTAGATTGGATTCGATCTAACATAAATATTTGAATTCTACATTAATAAAATAATGCCTCACCCGTTTTCAGATAAATAACTTTAAAAATAAAGCTCCCACACAAAAAAATCTCTCCTGTAAAATTTAGGTTTTGTCGCTTACGATGTTTTGTCAAATAACCATCGATATATCCGAAACCCTGATTTTAGTAATATATTTTCTCATAAATTTTTATTTTTTAAAAATTATTAATGCGAAATAATATTTTTTTTAATGTTTCTAAATTTGGATCAAAGAATCTAAATATTATTTATGCACGATGTCATTATAATATGACAATTATAACAAAAATTCTTTGACGTAAACGTCTTTTTATAGCCCGCGGGCGTTATTATGACCCAGCGGGCTATAATGAAACGTCAAAAATTAAAAACAACAATGTTACACCATTTGATATACTCGAAGTAAGTTTTTTCGTATAAAGATTTTGATTTTTCCGGCAGCAGGCCGCAATTTTTCGCCTTTTCAACTGCTTCCTTAATTTCATTCATCTTTAAACTTTAAAACTGACTGATGTCAGTTGACATTATAATATGACAATTATAACAAAAATTCTTTGACGTAAACGTCTTTAAAAACAATAATATATTAATATTAATCGTGCATAAAGTTTTGTATGCATTGCTGGCATAACTGGTTTTTATGGTCCTACGACGCTTTTCTAGCCCTCGCGCTAACGCGCTCGAAATAGCGCCTCTGACCATAAAGACCTTATTATGCCCTTAATACATAAATAACTATTATAGATTGACTAAAAAATTATATGCCAATATTATTTTGGTTATTTTTTGAATATCTTAATTTTGAGCCCTACTGAAAATTATTTTTATTGTTTTATTCTGTGATTCCTCAATTTATATGTTAGTCATTAAGTTATTGTAGGAATAAAAATATAAGTAAAAAATATTTGTTTTAGTTATCAAAATTTAATTTAATTTTAGAAATATTTCTACACCACCCAATAGAGCAGGTAAGTTTGGATATTAATAGCTAAAAATTGCCACAAAATGGCCAACTTTTTGCCTAGGTACATAATGTTCTCCGTTTTTCATTTTGGAAAAAAACTCATAAAAACGGAAATTTTTATAAAACAAAAACTAAGACTTACTTACCAAAAGCCTAAACAATTAGGTACTTGAGTAGGTACCTATGTATAGCTTATTATTTTTTTGTAATACACCATATGGGAAAAACTGGATAAGTCGTAAATGAGTTTTTAAGGCGGGCACTGACTTGCAACTGAACGTTGTAATGTAATGTAATGTAACACGAACATTCGATAGTCAGTGCCTATAAACGAGAACGAGGCGAACGCGAACGGCGAGGGGCGAACGGAGCATCCGTGCTCCACTTGAGTGTCGGTTTTTTAGCGAATCCCTTTGATTGTTACATTGTTAAGCAGAGCATTCAAAATGAGCATTCGCGGCGCCAAGAAAACGATCTGAGCTCGAGCGTTGTAATGTAATACTCGCCTTGAGCATTACATTACAAAGCTCGGCTCAAGTCAGTGCCCGCCTTTAGAGCAGCATTTTAAAGTCTTTGTCTTTATTGGAAATTTTTGCCAATAATGCATTAAATCCTGTACTTATCTCAGTTTGTACTTTTTTGTATTTAGCTTTTCCTAAACGGTGCAGAAATAGTAATTAAACAACAGTAATAATAATTATTGTTTTCTTACATTAAATAGAAAATTCATACATAATTAAAAGTGATTTGTAAGTTTTTGAATATCAGTTAAATCATCTACAAGTTCATCCAGTTTTGTTCCTATTTTTTTGGAGACCTCTATTTTTTCGTTTATTGATAAATTCATATAACTCCAAACCAATTCACCATCTATAACAGCTCTTGCAGGATTTGCATGCAATTGCCTCCAACTTTTATAAGTCCTAAATGCTTTGGGATTTAAACCTGCAATGTGGGCACCTTGTGAAACCAATACATTTTGCAACATAAGAAGTCTCCTGTAAGTTTTTTCAGCCACTGGCATAATATATCCCAAGCCACCATCCAAAGTTGCTAAAAAGTATATTAAAGTATATTAAAAGTATTAAACTGAAGTTTAATTTTATCTAATGAGATCCAAACTTACCAAACATTGAAACGTGTCTCTTGTCGGCACCGGTCAGATGTTTTTTGTCCTCTCCAAGTTCACCCAATTTACATTTTATCCTGAAAAATGAATTAATATTTTGTCCTAAATGAAAATCAGCTTTTCTTAATAGTCTTTGACCTCCAAGAGATTCTCTTGCTTCTGGTTGATACATATAAAGGACTAAATTCTTTTCTCTATCAGAAACTAAAAAGCCCAAATTTGAGTTGTCTATCATGTATTCTATAGAGTAAACTTCACAAGCTCTAAAATCCTACAATTAAAAATAAATGGTTTGCGAAATCCCTAAATTTATTATTTATTATAACATTATTACCCTTGAAACTAGAGACAGAGTCCTGTATTCTTCTTGAAACCGTAGAAGAGCTATAGATTTATAAACATCTGCTACCAATAAAAGACTCTTAATCACTAGGATTTGGTGAGTATAAATTTGCGTATCTATGAACGCGACACCAACCAAATCATTATCCTTTAATTGCCAAATATAAATCTAAAAACAATTTATAAATAATTTGATAAAGAATATTTATTTTTAATAATACCTTTTGTCCCACAGCAGACACCAAAAATCCTTTAACCTGTGAAAGAGCAGTCACAGGGCCCTTTTGATCTTTGGCATAAATTTCTTTAAATCTATTTTTGGTTAAAGGTTGACCAGGTTCCGGCACGACCTCAATAATATCGTAGATTAAAATCCTTCCTCTCGAAGTTATATCTTCGCCATAATTATAGTTGGTACCTACTGCAATGTACCCCTTCAAACCTGATCGGGTACCCTCGTAGGCTAACGCAACATTTTTCAAACAATTTACGTGCTCCCATTCGTCCAAATCGATCTTGGTGTTGGGTATGACTTCCCAGGAAACGGGCGAGAACAGCATCAAACTGAACTTTTCTTGTGGGGGATACGGAAATCTGTCGCCTTTATCTTCAATGGACAATTCCTTATCTTCGCCGTTGAATTTGTAATACTGATTTGAAGGTTCAGCTATACTTGTAACTAGACAGTATGTTTTCGATTCTAAATGGTAGCTCACGAAGTGCGGGGTACAACGTAAGGGTACTTTCCTTACTGGCCATGGCGCGTCATAATTTAAATGGGTCCTTAGAACACCTATCCTTAATTCGGACTAAAAAAAACTTATAACTATGTTTTCCAGAACACATTTAAGTTTTTTAAGTAACTAATAGATACTAGACAATGTAATTGTACTCGAAATTTTATTATTTTTTTCAAAACAAAACTAAATTCTTTAAAAAAAAATATGTGGATATGTATACTTCATTTTCTGGACACTTCTTAAAAACATTTGGTTTAGCACCAAAAAAAGTCAATTGAAGTATAAACTTACATGGGCATCCATATAGAATTTTCCAGGGGGGGCAAACACTGGCAAAATAAATTATTCTGTTTGCTACAGATGGCAAACAACTTTTTTGCGTGTACTGATTTCAAGAATGAGCAATTTGCTCAAACCGATCTCATAATATCGCAAAAAAAGAGCTGATTGAGCAAAAAGCAAAACATTCATATTCGCAGACTGCGACTGAACGCGCCAACCAAAACGTATACACACAAATTGTACTAAGCAGTAGCGCGGCTAAGGTCGCAGCCGCAAGCCGCAGCCGCGAGTCGCATCAACGAATCCGTACCTTTAAGCCGGGTCTACAATTGTCGCAGGTCGCAGATCGCAAAACATAAGCTTGCGCAAAGCACCTAGCTGACAAAATAACTCAATCGCCACGTCACGTATAGGTTATAAAATATATAAATCAATAAAAATTATTTTTGTTATAAAATTTGGATTTTCGAGTAAAAAACAATACAAGCGGTACAACATGTTGTGATGTTAATAATCTTATCAAAACAATTTTCTTTTCAATTGCAATTTTATTTTTGCCCTTATATTGTTCGTTATTATTTTTCACTCTTAAAGCTAGGTTACGTTTTCTACAAAACATATTGGTAAAAATAATAGAATGAAGCTTTTGTACAGTTATCTTTAATTTGTTTTTTTCCTTCAATGTCTGTCGAACTTAGGTATGGGCGCCCATGTAAACATATAGATTTACGCGTTTTCAAGTTTAACTTTTAATTTTTTTCTAATAATATTAGAAAAAAATTGGCTTTAAGGACCGAAAACCACCAACTTGAAGGTATATGATCCACAGACCCCCAGGAATCCCAGAAAATTTTTGCAAAAATTCTACCTTCATTATTTAAAAAGATACAGGGAATCTATATTATTTTTAAATGGCAACATTGCCTAACAACAATGGTATATTATTCAAATATTTAGAAAGTTGGCCATTTTCATGGAACATGGTAAAATTTTGTACAATTACCACAACACAGATTTGATGGCGAAGGTCAGTGTGAATTTATTTTAAAGAACAGTATATACAGATTGAGAAAGTTGGCCATTTCTCAAGAGTTAAAAACTACTTTTTTTAATTTCATTAAAGAATATAGATCAATTTTGTGTAATTTCCATAACCACAGATTTTTAGGAAAATAATAAACCACCGTATAATCGTCATAGTACGAAGGCGTAGAAGGGCCAACAAAAATTTTACAAATTTTAGCCAAAACTAACTTTGATTTTTGCAATTTCTATTCTATAATTGTTACTTGAACCTACAATTGTAACTTGAACCTACAATTGTAACTTGAACTTACAATTGTAACTTGAATCTACAATTGTAACTTGAACTTACAATTGTAACTTGAACCTACAATTGTAACTTGAACCTACAATTGTAACTTGAACTTACAATTGTAACTTGAACCAAAGATTAAATATACTAAATATACTATATATATATATATATATATATATATATATATATAGAAAGAGTATATTTAATCTTTGCTTGAACCTACAATTGTAACTTGAACTTACAATTTTAACTTGAACCTTAGACTGGGCCAAAAAAATCAACTATTTTTTTTTGAAAAGTAGGTATATCGAAAATATGGTATATTAAGAGGTCTATCATCGCAATTTTAATTTTTTTTTCCTCAGCAAGTTTTTGTCTCAGAACTCCCAAACCATTAAGTTTAACAAAATTGGCTCGAAAATATTATTTTAAGAAAATTAAATGCTCTAGAAAAAAGGTTAAAGTGAAATTTTCCGTCAGATGGACCGTTTACTTTTACATTTTGATCTTTTAAATTGGAATTTTGTAAAAATCAGTAACCATAAAAAACTTATAAATATTCTTATGGGAAATCAAATGCTTTACAAAAAAAGCCTCTTGACATTTTTGGCTAAATTCACTCAATCAAAAGTTATTCAAGGTTAAAATTTCGTTTTGACTTCAAATTTACCCTTGAATAACTTTTGATTGAGTGAATTTAGCCAAAAATGATAAAAGACTTTTTTTGTAGAGCATTTGATTTTCCATAAGAATATTTATCGTTTTTTTTCAGGGTACTGATTTTTACATTAATTACAATATTCCAGTGGCGGCTGGTGGATTTTATGTATACCAATATCTCAGTTATTAGACATGGGACCCACACCAAATTTATAATAGTTTATAATGGCATTAAATAAACAAGTTCGGCGCAAACAGAATTTAAATTAAAGTTTGCGAAAAAAAGTTAGTTTTTCCTGTCGCCTCACCCGCCTCCAGGCCCCCCTATTTGAGATAATTCAAATTAAAGTGGTGTAAGTTAATATCTACTATAATTTATCGAAAAATTTAAAATTTTATTTAAAAAATCCAAATATTACAGGTTTTATACCATTTTAAATATTTTTTTATTTTAATAAAATAAATTATAAAAATTTAAAATCGAATAAAATCTGTAATATTTGGATTTTTTAAATAAAATTTTAAATTTGTCGATAAATTATAGTAGATAATAAATTGCTCCACTTTAATTTGAATTATCTTAAATAGGGGGGCCTGGAGGCGGGTGAGGCGACAGGAAAAACTAACTTTTTTTCGCAACTTCAATTTAAATTCTGTTTGAGCCGAACTTGTCTATTTAATGTCATTATAAACTATTATAAATTTGGTGTGGGTCCCATGTGTAATAACTGAAATATTGGTATACCCAAAATCCACCAGCCGCCACTGCAATATTCCAAAGTTAAAAGATCAAATTGTAAAACTAAACCAATTTTTAAGGCATGATTGTAAGAAAACGGTTCATCTGACGGGAAATTCCAATTAAACTTTTTTGTAGAACATTCAATTTTCTTCAAAAAATATTCTTAAGTCAAATTTGTTAAACTCAATGATTTGGGAGTTCTGAGACAAAGACTCGCTCAGGAAAAAAAAATCTTAATATTAATAATATGGACTCAAACTTTCACAATAATTTTTTTTTGTCACCCCAATCCATATTTTCGATATACTTTTCAAAAAAAAATAGTTGATTTTTTTGGCCCAGTCTATTGAACCTACAATTGTAACTTGAACTTACAATTGTAACTTGAACTTACAATTGTAACTTGAACTTACAATTGTAACTTGTAGGTTCAAGTTACAATTATAGAATAGAAATTGCAAAAATCAAAGTTAGTTTTGGCTAAAATTTGTAAAATTTTTGTTGGCCCTTCTACGCCTTTGTATCATAGTAATGATAAATACTACCGTGGAGAAAATTAAAATCTCGTTGTCTCATTGAACAATAACCGTGGAGAAAGATGTAAACTTTCTCAACAGATCAAGACAACCACTTTCTTAATTGTAAACAACAATATTAGAGTGTCAAGCTGATTTGACCAAATTTTTAGACATTAGACAAAATTCGTTACTTTAAGTTAGAAGTTTATTATTAATTTTTTCCACTCCCAACTTTAAAAGGCCCATTATCGTACAAAATGCCGTGAGCAGGATTTGCTCTTGGGACAGGGTTATTAAATTTTATAGAAAAATTTATATTTTTAGGTTAATAATAATAATGCTTTATTGAACTAAAACCAAGTTCAAAGGCTATTGACCGTAGTCCTTCAGCCGATGAGTTTACAATAAATTTTGATATAAGTATAAATATAACATTTAACAGTATAATCATAACATTTATAAAATCAAGGTACTTATTTAACAAACAAAAAAAAAAATACATCTAGTGTTATGGAGCATTATGGAATTTTATTAATTTCTCCATGGTGGTTTCTACTGGATGTTTGTGTGTAGATTCACGATTTTCTCGTTCTATGCAGTAATTATTAAGTATTTCGAAATTAATGTCTTTTTTGCTAAACACTAATCCTAAATCTAGAAACTGAAGTTAATAAGTTATGTCCAATAAGGGAATTCAAAATAGCTACTAAACACATAAACAATAAGTGGATATCAGAAGAAATAATAAATTCAATAAAACAAAATAGCTACTAAACACATAAACAATAAGTGGATATCAGAAGAAATAATAAATTCAATAAAACAAAGGGACAAAAAATATAAAACCGCTATAGTCACAAAAATACCACAGGATTGGGAACAATATAAATTACACAGAAATCGAGTAGTCCAACAAATTAGAGAGGCAAAAAATATATATTACAAAAAAATAATTGACAACAACAAACAAAACTCACAAGAAATGTGGAAAAACCTAAAATCGCTGCTACCAAACAACAACCAATCGTCAAACTTTAAAGGAGTAATATTTAATGACATCCAAATCCTAGATACACACAAAATTACTGAAAATTTTAATATATTCTTTATCCAAAGCATTAACCAATTGGTGGAGAACATCCGTCCGATTAACGATCACAACTACATTTTAAATAAAATTAACACATCGCAAGAACACTTAATTAAATTTGAAACCATCACAATGGGTGAAATAAAAAATATAGTTAAAAACTTAAAGAACACCGGTGACTGCGAAGATGGTCTGTCAACAAAAATTTTAAAGTGTGCTTTTGAAGTTATAGGAAATCGGTTTCTAGATGTAGTAAACTGTTCATTATCGAGTGGAGTATTTCCGGAAAATTGGAAAACTTCGATAATAGTTCCCGTTCCAAAAATTCCTAAAGCGATAAATGGTGAAGATTTTAGACCAATAAATGTCGTGCCGGTCTATGAAAAAATTCTGGAAATAGCCGTAAAAAAACAACTAGTCAATTTCTGTGATAAAAATAAGTTAATAGTGTCAAATCAA